TAGAGCCAGAGGTGAAGAGCTACAACTCCCATCATCCCTGACAATTTTAACTGTCATGGCTGCATCCTATGCTATCCTGGGATTTGTAGTTTTTGGTTAGAGGCACTGACTGAGAATTCTAAATGCTCCTCCCTAAACTGCAAATGCCAGGATTCCATAGGATGGAACCATGGCAGTTAAAGTGGAATCAATCTGGAGTAATTGTGTAGTGTGAAAGGATCCTAGCTGAAAATGTTTCTAAGCAGGTGCAAAGTACATTTCTCTCTCCAATGAGTATTATAGGAATGTACAAACAGCCTCCTCCACATATCCAGCCAATATATAGTACAGAGTGGGATTGCCTCAAAAGCCACATAACCTATTGGCCCCATTCATTCAGAATGATATTCAACAATGCCTAACAACTCACTTGTCAGTGGAGGAGGAAATTTGTTCTAGGTCTTTGGGCCGATACAGACCAGCCTAAACAGCCAGCCTGGGGATGGAGTTGGGACGGGGCAACTGCACACCGGCCACCCCAACACCACGCGCTCATCCACATGGCACACAGCATCAGGGTGCCCTCTTGGAGCAGTGTGCACACACACTGTGCCAAAAGGGCACAAAAGAGCCACCACGGTGGCTCTAAGGGCAGCTTTTTGCTGCCCCAAAAGGAACAGCATTTGCCTGCTCTTTTAGGGGTGGCAAAAATGAGGATTGGGGCTGCAGCATGTGGTTGCTGAGTTAGTATAACCCCTAGTATAACCCACCCCTTACAGTCCGTGTGCATCAACCCTTAGTCTAAGCAGTAAAGGAGCTATCAAGGGTGCTGAACCATCTCCAAAATAGGATCACAACCTTGGACCACATCTTTAAAGTCCTCACTCAAACCCATAATGGATTCATTGCCTCACTGACATGCAAGGCACTCCTGCTAGTGTTTGACAGCAACTTGTTAGGGAAACATGCATGTTTCCTTTATGCATGTGTATGTCTTTTTTGGGCACTGCAGAGGGTGGTATTTCCTTCCTTCCTACACAGTACCCAAAGCTCTCCTGCAACTTATTGAACAATGTTTGAAGCCCTCTCACTCTCTCTCTCTCTCTCTCACACACACACACACAGAGAGCTCTTCCATGCTTCATGGGGAATAGGCAGGATTGAGGAAACCTCTGGCTGTTTCCCTGTAGCCAGATGCAAAATGATATCAGCACTGACACTGCCTTGGGGTTCTCCAGAGGTCCCACTACTGCTGTAATCATTTCACATCTGGCTATGATGACATGTTTCTCTGAACCTGCCTAATCCCCATGAGACATGAAATGGCCATATGGGGGACTTCAGCTGTTGTTCAATAAGTCAGGAGATGGTATACAGTTCAGCCTAATATAGGCCTGAATGCAGAATTACTATGCTATAAAGGACTGCATCCATATACCGTTGGATCAATTTATAAAAATAGAAGGTCCAGCCCTGCGATTTAGGACCAGGACTTGAAATCTACGGATCCTATTACTATCTCACCATGAACAAGACTATTCTTGTTTGATTATGGAAGCTATGCAGAGTCAGACCTTGCCAATATTTGTATGCGAGACCACCAGGGGATACTAGGGGGTTCCAGGTAAAGTTGGGGAGAGAGAATCCCATCTGAAACCTAGAGAACTACTGCCAGTCAACGTTGACAGTAGTGAGCTAAATGGACCAATAGTTTGCTATTATACTAACTCAGCTTCCTATGTTTTTATATTCCTTGCTGCTAGAGAAACCATCTTACCAGATAGACTATTGGAAACACAAAGGTCTCTCTGAAACAACCTTTTTAATTAGATCCTCAGCCATTTTTTCCAGACTTGTTCCCTCACCAGGATTAGGAGGCTCTTGCACCAGTACACTAGCAAGCGTAGTCTACAGCACACAAACATGGAAGCAGGACTAGCCGGAAGAGTCCCAATTCCTGTTTGTTGATTGTTATATAGATAACAAAAGGCTTGCTGGAAGATGTACTGACGCCATACACTGTGCGTAATGGTGCGTGGCATCAGGACGTCTTCAGAGAGGGGTTGAGCTGGCCAGCGTGTGGCTACCCCTCCCCATCCCTGCCTCCAGGACAGCCCAAGGGCCCATCTGTAGAGGCCCTTAAACACTGCTGGTCTTTATATTGTAGCACAAGTTTGTGAGCACACTTTGAACATATGATGTTTTCCCAACTATTGTATTTGTATCATAGCTTGGAATATATATATATATATATATATATATATATATATATTTAAAAAAACTATAACTCCTCATGTGAGTGCACACAGACACATATATACACACACACTAGGTAGCACAGCATTCACCATGCTGGTTAGAAGATTCTGAGAGTTAAAGCTCAAAAGGCAACTTTTACAACCTCTGATTGGCATGCTGGGAAATGCTCCATTGTTCAAGTCTTTTCCAACCTATGGCAACCCTAAGGTGGACCTATCTCAGCAGTTTTCTTGACAAGATTTGTCTCCGGGGGGGGGGGGGCACTTTACCTGCCCTGAATATATGGTTGTTGAGCAGCTATTAAAGACACAAAGACCTATGAAAGAAAAAGGTTGGCAGCACAGCCTACATAGAAATAATGGCTGGAAACCTGTTGGTTAGTCCCATCTAGAAAAGATCCATTGATTCAATTGGTGAATGGTTAGTCAACACATAGGTTTGCTCCATGGATGCATGGGCTTTCTGTTCCTGCCTTAAATCAATATTCTGGATTATGTTAGTGCTCTGATATAAGACACATATTTTATGGTTCATGGTACTAGGTCTCTGTAGGGCAATAAATTATATCTAAAATTAAGTTACATTTTCTGTCCAAAAACAACTGGCTGCATTTCAGAGAACAATGTGTGCAAGGAATCTAATTGCTGGCTATAGATGACAACAAATATATGCATAGGGCATTTCATAAGACAAGAACAGGCAGTCTCCAGCTGCATGCATAATACTCACTCATTGGATCGTAGCCAGGGAATGAAAACTTGGCTCTCAAGTGGACTCTAAAGAGGGAACAGAAGGAAATGAAAGAGGCTGAAGCATGCAGGAGATATCACTGCTGAATGCTCCCCATGTAAAACATTTCTGCAAACAGAAAGCAAGCACATCAGAATAAAGTATTGAGTCTGAGACTTTGTTGGCTTTCCTGGTTCTTTATGTGCAGGATGTCACATTGATGAATAGTTCCTGTCCTGTGGATATGAGGAGCACAGAGCCTGGGTTTACTTTAGATGGGGATTAACAATAGAATTTAGATCTAATCCTTTCTCTCAATGAATGTCAAAATTTGTTGTGTCTTGTTGAGACTGGACAGGTTGTGAGAAGAAACATAGGAGAGAGAAGAGACACACTTGACTTCCTCCTCCTCCCCCATCCACACACTTCTACCTCTTTGCAAAATAAAAGGAAAATGCTGCCAGCATCTTGGATGCTGGCTGCACCTAGCCTTGGAGGAGCTGGATTACCATTTCCATGATCCTCAGACATTTGCCTTTCCCACTGAGAAGAAAAAAGCTGTAGTTTGACCCCCAGGGAATTTATTTATATGTACTGTTGTCTCATCTACCCCATTTCTTTACACAAGGTGTGACAAAGAGAGCAACACCACCATTTAACATGCTAGGCAGCAGTATAAAATGTTGTTGTTGTTGTTGTTGTTGTTGTGTGCCTTCAAGTAATTTCTGACTTATGGCACCCTAAGGAAAACCTATCCTATTGTTTTCTGGGCCTGAGAGTATGTGACCGGCCCAAGGTCACCCAGTGGGTTTCCATGGATGATCAGGGATTCAAACCCTGGTCTCCAGAGCCACAGTCTGATGCTCAAACCACTACACTACACTGGCTTTTGTACAAAATAACTGAGACAGTTTAAATGAATCTAAAGCAGTAGAGGGAAAAGTGCAGATTATTCAAAAATATTTGAAAAACAGGGAGAAAAACATGTTTCTCAAGTGTCAGAAAACTCTCGTGAGAAAAATCCTGGACTGATGAGACTCTTCACAGTTCAGCATTTATTCTGCATACAAGTTTGTGCATGGTTTTTTGTGTATGAAGAAAATAGCATTTTCTGCACAAAAAACCTGAGTCTTCTGTGCTGAAAATAATATTAATAAACAAAAATGTTACCATTTGTGCAAAAAAAAAAAAAAAATGCTGCTCCCTGCACAGAAAATGCTTGTTTCTTTTCTAAATGTGGCTTTTACATGGAATAAGTCAACAATTGCAGCATTTTCTGTTCAGGAAACATAATATGTTCCAAGTTGGAAATTAAGACAGAAAATCTAGCTAACAATATAGAAGAGGGGGTAATGTGGTGAAGTTAGATGTGAGCTCAGGATAGAGAAAAGATTAATGTCCCTAGAGCATGGATGGGCATGCATGGGGGAGGCAAGGGGCAACTTTCTTCCTAGACCCCACTGCAAACCACACACACACCCTAAAGTGTCCAAAATGGAACATCTCATTCAGTTAAAAGTTGCAAAAGTGGCATTACATGTGTCTTGCTTTTGTTCATTGTTTTGTTGTGCATATAGTTTCATATAAGATGCCTTATTAGTTCAGTTTTGTAGTGCTACATTCAACAGAAGAATTGCATAGCACAATTGATGTAACTGCACATGCAGATTTCTATGAAAGGCAGTCCCAACTGACATCTTGGGGATCCAGGTTTGGGAACTGCTGGTGTTGTGTTTTAGCTCCTAGTCCTTGTTTTCCCTTCCAGAGCTGAATTACAATGCCCTGTCAACTGAACATTTCCTGCCTCTGGAAGTAATCATATATGGTGGGAAAATGTTGTTCTTCAGTGGTGTTAAGGCCTTCAGAAGAATTCAAGGCAAGAAAAAAGAAGTTCTGAACCATTTCACTTCTGGTGGTATGGCAGATGCAATGGTCACCATCTAGAGTCATTCTGAGATGGGACAACTTGTTGCGGGGTCTAGTCCTCCTTGGGAGATGTCAGAGAAAGTGATTTCATCCCCCCCAATAAACGGGAAGCAGAGGGGCCCACGACTCGCATCCTGATGATCCTGATACTGCTCGATATAAACATATAAGAAGGTAAAGACTTTGGAAGCCTGGCTGAGATCAAGGGAGCGATGGGCGAATCACATTCATGGCAAGTCACGGCTTCTTTTAGAGCCGCATTAGTGCTGCCACCACTTTTCTTTTAATAGAATCGAAGTAATAATGTACAAAGCAGCAAGAAGCCATCTAAAGGGATAGTTTCTACAAATAAAACTTAACCATTGGACTAAGCCTGGAGGGCAACTTTTAATGATCAATTAAGCTTTACAAAATAAGAAACTAAAAGAGTAAAAAAGAAAAAGATAAAAGGGCCAAACACTCACATACTTAGGAAAAGTACAGACTCTGATTTGGATACCAGATATTTGTAGAAATGTGGCTTGGGTTAACTAACCTAAAAGAACTGTGCAGATAACTGATTTAATTCCCATTTGATTGCTAAAAGGGAATTAATAATTAAACAGACTGGTCTAATTTTTGGATTTAGAATTTTATTTTTTGTGAACTTTAGACCTCATTATTGTAATTGAATTTGGATCTGAATCATACAAAGAGTATAATTTAGTATTTACATAAAAGATACAGTAAAGATCATAACAAGACAGTGACCTTGAAAATGCTAGGCAGTATCCACTGAGTGGAATATTCCTCCAAGATTATCTACTTGTTTTGTTTATGTGAAGAGACAACCTAATAAACATTCCTTACATCTAGTATGTGGAAGAAAGTGACATCTTGTGGCAGAACCTAATTATTATTTGTACTAAAGAAAAACAGAAATCATGACTTCTAGAAAAAAGACTGCAGTCCAAACATTAATACCTAACGTAAGCCAAAGGAGTCCCTCAACTGAAACAACACTGAAAGTGACAGATCAAAATGAGTTCTTTTTGGAGGAGATAAAGAAAATCCAAGAAGAAATCAGGGAAGATAATGAAAGAATAAAAAATGAGATGAAGAAAGAGATTAAGCGGGAATTCAAGATTGAGTTAAAGGACATAAAACAAAACTTGGAAATAATCACTAAAGATATGGGGACGATAATGGAAAAGATGGAGAAACTAGAATGTGACTTTAAACAATTGGAAGTGAAATTGGATAATGTGATTAAAGACAGAATGCGAATCATGGAATTTTGACAAAGATGGAGATAAAAATCAGTTGTCACCCCTAGACTGTGGAACGGCCTGCCAGATGAGATCAGTCAATTGACATCTCTACCCCCTCTGCAGACCAGGGCGTTTGGGACGCCCTGGTCCGGAGCGCCGCGGGGCTATGGCAGCCCCACCGCAGCGCTCCTAGAGCGACCCTGAAAGGAGCGCCAAAAAGGCACTCCTTTCATAAGTCAGAAAAAGGGCGCCCTAAAAGCGGCGGGCGCCCTTTCTCTGACTTATCCCCCGCAGCACGTCCGGACGCTGTGGGAGGAGTTCGCCCTGAACGCGCTGGGCGTCCGGTGGCCCGGAAGCGTTCAGGGCGACCTCAGGAAGAGGAAGGACCGCCGCGCGTGCAGTGGCCCCTCCTCTTCCTGGCCTCGGAGACGGCTCAATAAGCCGTCTGCCGAGGCCCCTAGACAGCTTTAAAAAGGCTGTCAAGACAGATTTCTTCCAGCAGGCCTCTCCAGGATTTAAAAAAAAAAATCTCAGCCTCAGGAAACCCCCTTCTTTGAAGGCCTCCAGTTCCCCCTTGAATTGTTGCTGGAGTCTCTAACTGCTGTTGTGACATTGTCACTGTATTTTAATTGTTGTTGTAATTTTAATCTCTTGTTTTAATATGTAATTGATTTAATGGCTGTTTAAGGGGGGGAGTATATTGTTTTCATATTATTTTTAATGTTGTTAACCACCCTGATTGGATTACCAAAGGGTGGTATATAAATTAATTTTATTATTATTATTATTATTATTATTATTATTATTATTAGAGGAAATTGTTTTAAATTAAGAGGTCTCCTGGAGCAAGATAATGGGAACTTATATAAATCTTTAATATCCATCTTAGCTGCATTTATCAAAGAACTGGAACAGCAATTCCCATGGGAAATTGACAGATTGTATCGTCTAAATTCAAAAGTGGCAAGAATTAGAAATGTACCATGCGATATAATCGTTTACTGCAGGGGTAGGCAGCCTTTTTGAGCCAGGGGCCGGGTTGCTGTCCCTCAGACAGTTGGGGGCCCGAAGCACCAAAAATAAATAAATAAAAATTAAAAAATTAACAAAAATTAAAAAAATATGCATGCACACTCTCTCAGCCCCAGAAAAGCCATGGCAAAACCCATGTGGAGATTTTGCCAAGAAAACCCCAAGAACAAGTAATAACAACAATAATCAATATCATCATGGTGGGTGGCAGGGGGTGGTGGCGGCGGTGGCAGGGCCGGCCTGGGGCCGGTCCAAAGGCCTCGGGGGCCGCATCCGGCCCCCAGGTCTTAGGTTCCCTACCCCTGGTTTACTGCATGAGGAAACAAGCTCATTATTGGGTGATACAATACAGTTACAAAAAAGATTTGATGATAGAAGGTAGAAAAAATATTTTTTAAGGATGTACCTGTGAGAGTTCTCTGAGCTAGACAAGATTATTATTTCTTCACAGATCAATTAAAAACACATAGAGTTCCATTTAGATGGGAGGAGACTGAAGGAGTGACTGTGACTTGGAGACAAAAAATATATAGACTAAGGGCCTCTGCAGACTGGGCCAAAGGGCCAGCCTGGGGGTAGAGTTGGGGCAGGGTAGCTACACGCCAGCTGCCCCAACCCCACCATGACACAGTCCTGACTCCATGCACTGTTACACCCAGTGCGCGCTGTCAGGATGCCATCCTAGCATAGCATTCTGATGCACTGCACCAGAAAGGGCAAGGAAGAACCATGCTCTGGCTCTTAGGGCAGCCTTTTGCTGCCCCTAAAAGGAGCAGCCTTTTGCCACTCTTTTCAGGGCAGCAAAAGGGAGGATTGGGGCCGCAACATGGGGTTGCCATGGCCCTGATCCACCGCTTCCTGGAGCAGCCCAGAGCCACCCTTCTGCAGAGGCCCTAAATTCTGTGGAAAAAGCAAAAGACCTTTGGCTAAAATTTAGGAAAGAGATTGAAAAGAATAAGGAAGGTAGCCCAGAAAGAGAAAGATATGGAAGAAGACAATTGACTAGAATGAAGACAAGACAGGATTCAAAAAGAAGTGAGGAGAAGGAGGAAGGTGATTCTGAGGTGGATGAAGAGGGTGCAACAGGCAGAAAAGAAGAGGAATAATAAACTATAAAAATGTACTGATTGACTATTTGGGGGTTTGATAACAAGGAATATGCTTAATTCTTGCTTGTTTGAGGGATGGAAACTGTAATTTGATAAAGTTAAAAGATTAAATTAATTTCCTGGAATGTAAAGGGGTTGAATTCACCGATCAAAAGGGAAAAAGTTTTTACATATATTGGGAAACAGAAATCTGAGATAGTTTGTATTCAAGAATCCCACATAAAAAAATAAAGATAGAAGGTAGATTATTAGAAAGAATCTTGGCAAAGAGTATATAGCACAGGAGTAGGCAAGCTTTCCCCTTTAAGGGCCGAGGGACTTCAGCTCCTAGAATCCCAGGAGCTATTGGCCAACATTGGACTATTGGCCAACATGGCTGAGGCTTCTGGTAGCTGAAGTCCCTCGGCCCTTAAAAGGGAAAGCTTGCCTACCCCTGATATAGCATCTCTAGATAAGATGAAAAAGGGAGTTATTGTTTTTGTGAATACTTATTTGGAGTCTAAAGAATTTTTTAAGGACAAAAATGGTCTCTCCGTGGGTTTAGAAATTATATGGAAAGAGAGGAAAGTA